CTGCCAAGGTCCTTATCTGTTTGTTTGCTTGGCTTTCAGCCACCGAGATGTTGGTTTCTTGCTATTAAAGTACATTCCAGTTAAGCTTGTCTTGGCTTTCATTACTGTACGCAGGAGGGGGTCAGAACAGGTGATGATACAATAATATGAGTAAGAAAACTTATTGGAAAACTGACATCTCTATGTTTCACTTTTGGATTTGTGACTATTCCTTTTCACAATGTGACGGTATCACAGTTAAAGAAAGTAAAAAGTTCTGTGTTACTGTGGTTGACAGTGAGAGACTGCCATTGTGCCTTGGCTATGAGATTTCCTGTTACAGAATATTTATGCTTTACTTTCAGTCCCATTCAAAAATTCAGCAAACCTTTTACCGTTTACAAATGCTTTAGGGCCCTCTGAGGAGAAATTAAAGAAAGCAGGCCTTATCCATGAGTCAAATGGCTGAATTTTACCTTTGAAATTGCATTATCTCAGTTATCACTTCAGACTGGAATACCTATTTGTCAAGTAGCTAGAAAGATAAATTAAGTTTCAAGAGACTTTTTTGCATAGTTTCTATTTGTGACTTCATAGTATGGATTATTTGCATATAATAGAAATAAAGCTGACTCAGATTGAGATCTAAGATGTATTGAAGTTTTCACTGGGTTAGTTGGCCTTTTTTGCTTTAACCTTTGCTGAATTCTTTTCCCATTATTATAGCCTCTGAAAAGATCTCTTTTGTCTTGCATCCTTCTTGCAAACTCATTGCTGCCTTTCGTGTGACTGAATGTCTTAACTGCAAGTCTGATTTCCTATTCAAAGACATAAACTGGACATTATGAAAATCTGAAACATTGTTGTGTATTTTCTCCTTCATAGATTCAATGCTGCAGCCTGAAAGCCAGATATCTGAGGTTTCACACACTTTTGTTTGAGAGTGAAAAACTCAAGTTTTTTGTGACATTTATATTTAGAAGTAGAGAATATCTATGTTATTAGGAACTTTTACATACATTGAGCTTTCATTCATTCTAGCATATTCTTCTAGTACCTAAAGATTACATTCTTGCCAACTATACATTTTCATTCTAGCTTTGTTTTTTTTTTTTTGAATAAATAAGATATCTCATCTCTCTTACCGTAGAACAACATGTCTAATACAGTAAGAGTACTTGTTCAACTAACTTGTCTACTCATAACAGCTCCCAGGCAGGAGTTTTTCCCAGACCTATGTAAAATGCTGGAACTGGATTTGCACACAGATTCTTTCCTTCTCAGGTATAAAAATTATTTATCATTTAAAAATAAATGGGCAATAATAAATAGCAAATTAACAATTGCCGTTTAATTCAGCACTGGTTTCCCAATTTAGAATTCATGTTTTTAATAATAGAAGCTGACTTCTTCCTAAATTAATATGAAATGGCTGATTCGTAACTATCCTGCTCGGTCACATAAAGGACAACGCCTGTAGGAGAAATGATCTTTTGAGTACCCTTAAAGCAGTGGTTCCCAAACTTGGCAACTTTAAGACTTGTGGACTTCAACTCCCAGAATTCTCCAGCCAGCTCGGCTGGAGAATTCTGGGAGTTGAAGTCCACAAGTCTTAAAGTTGCCAAGTTTGGGAACCACTGCCTTAAAGGAAGGAAAGCTGTAGAGCCAAGAACTTTGCAAATAAAGAGTTCAATTAGTTTCTTGTTACTCATGTATTGTACTGTTGGAGTCTGCTACCTATATTTACAAGAAATGTCAGATCACAGGGTAAGTCATCCAACGAAGGTCTGTAAAATCTAGGTTAATGATACAAATCACATGGAAATACCTGCTCTGACTATGTGATGCGTCCTAACTTTATTATAAGGGAAATTTTAAGTGAACACTAATACAGACGCTACTTGTTTTAGCAGTTTCTAACTCTTAGCAGTTTGCTAACGTCTCTCCTCTCTCCTCTCTGTTTTTTTTCCCCTTTACTTTCAGAGCTACGTGTGATATATGAAACCTGCAGGAGATGTTGTAATGACTGTGAAATTACACTGAGGACAGATCTTGCTTCTTCCATTTTTTTTTGTGATTACTGCTCTTACTATTGTGATTGATTATTTTCTACAGTAAGTGAGCTGGTTGCTTTGTCTGGTCCTTTTGTTTAAAAAAGCGAGAGAGAAAGATGTCTAATCCTGACGCCCATCAAGATGCTGGTATCAAGCCAGGCTTGTTGGAAAAGAGCAACAATTCTGGTGATTCTCAGCCCTCGATCAATTTGGAAAGAAGGAACAAAAGTGGGATAATTAGTGAACCTTTGAACAAAAGTCTTAAGAAGTCTCGGCCACTGTCCCATTACTCTGCTTTTGGTAGCGGCAGCTCATTAAGTGAACATTCAGAGAAATGTGCCCCCATGGCCAACAGCAGTGAGGCAATCGTGGAAAAAAGCAATTCTACCTCAAAGCACAAAACCATCTCTGACATGTTGAGCAAATCAGATATTTCTTTGGAAGGACAGAACATCTTGCAACAGTTTGCTCAGTCTACAGAGTTGCTCAAAAGAGTTGTCCAGGAGCACATCCCTCTGCCTAATGACCATGGGACGGGCCTCTCAGACATAGAAGCTGTCTCAACTGCTGAAACAATGAACAACCCATCTGATTTCCCTTACCTGGGGGCTTTCCCCATCAACCCTGGCCTTTTCATTATGACCCCTGCTGGTGTATTTTTGGCAGAAAGCGCACTCCATATGGCTGGCTTAGCAGAGTACCCAATGCAGAATGAATTGGCGTCTGCCATCAATTCAGGGAAAAAGAAACGAAAACGATGCGGCATGTGTCCCCCTTGCAGAAGACGGATAAACTGTGAGCAGTGCAGCAGTTGTAGGAACCGTAAAACTGGACATCAGATTTGCAAATTCCGAAAATGTGAAGAACTTAAAAAGAAGCCTTCTGCTGCACTGGAGGTAAATTGCCTTTGCTGAGACAGCTTAATAATTCCCTCTCAACTGTCCATTGTGGAATCAAATGAGGACTGGATGTGGAAAAGTCAGAAGTTTGAATCCAGTAATGATTTATACCTTTATATTTTATACAGCCCAGGCTTTTCACAGATAAAGACAGACACAGTTAATAATAATAACACTTAAAAGAGAGGGTGCTTTGCATTAGTTTCCTTCATGAGATACAATGAGCTAGAACCTTATATAGCAAGTTAAGAAAGCTGATGTGGCAGTCATTGACTCCTTCATCCCAGACTGCTTCCCTGGGTTCAGATTGCTGAGTATTTCTCCAAGGAAAGATAATAAGTGGGAGAAATTCCTGTACATTAAAGAAAGAGGATCTATTGTGTCATCCCAGGATAAATTTCTTGTTTAATAGTATAGTGCTTTTGAGTGTTCACAATATTTTTACATGTGTTATTTTGATTTAAATATTTCAGCAATGGTGTAAGGTAAGCTTATATTAGAACAGTGTTTCTCAATCTTGGGCGACTTTAAGTCCTGTGGACTTCAACTCCCAGAATCCCCCAGCCAGCACAGCTTTCAAAAGCCGTGGCACGACATAACCGCGAACGTCAAAAGCGCGCCGACAACACCGCGGCGCTAAAACCGCGATGTCAAAAGCGCGTCGACAACAGCGTGCCGACAGAAGCGCGATTTAACTTAAGGTAAGGTTTAGGGTTAGGTTTAGAGTAGGTTTAGCGTTAGGTTTAGCGTTAGGTTTAGCGTTAGGTTTAGC